GTTCCAACCTTACTCCTCTTCATCCTTATTTCAGTTCCAACCTGTACCTCCAGGCCACCCTTATAACGCCTCCCTTATACCTCCGGAGCACGCATGCCCCCCACCGACATACCGCTAACAACTCCACCGATCTAATAGCGCCGCAATACCATTAACACATGATCTGTGCCTATAGCACAATAATCAAGGGGTCTTGCCTATAACACAAAGACATGGCACCACAGCGCTTAAAACTTGATCCATGCCTTTAGCAAGCAAAACAAGGGTGGTATGTGCCTATAGCACAATGACCGAGCACTTGTTGTGCTAACCGCCAACAAATCATTTCCACCAATCACATCACATTTCCCATCATGGACAAATCCATCACAACAACCGGTGCACCGTGATCACAACGAGCAACAACACTCAATCAACAACGATAATCAAAGCTCAGCAACAACAACAACAAACAAAGCTCAACAACAACAATAACCACGACGCACACAACTCTTAAAACGGTACTCAGAAACATCACACGAGACTCATAAACACCAAACGGGACACAACGGGGCATGGGGAAACAGTAAACGGGGTAAAACAGCACCCCGCCTTGCCCGTACCAGCGGGTGGTCAACCACCCGCCGGCGGGCGGCACTGTATCAACGGGTACACGGCGGGTGGTCGTCCACCCGCTGGTACGGGGGACGGTACCCGGCGGGTGGTCAGGTGGGGGTTCATCCCCCCACCGACCCCCGCTGGTACGACGGTAACTTGGCATTTTTTCATTCTGGGAATTCATCAATTAAACCCGAAATCAAGTCCAAGCACATCCCAAAACGTTCAACAAAGGCATGGCATCGAACAACTAGAATTAAACCAAGAAACACCACAATTACACCCTGAACACAATCCCTAAACATGCCAAGACACGAGGCTAAACACATAACGGTCCAAGAGCATCAAGAACCTCAATATCATCGTGAAATCTATATGCAAAACCTTAAAAACAAGCCCTAACCTTGAATCAACACCCGAACATGCATAAACCCACCCAAGAGCACCAAGAACATCATAACAACAAGATTTACAATATATACTCTAGGGACAAGTTCTAAACATAATTAAATACAAGAACATACCTAAGACTACACAGGGCCACCAAGAATATCAAGAATAACAATAATTCATACCACAAATCCCTAAAGACAAGTTCTAACAAAGCACGAATACAAAATCATATATTCAATCGTTCAACGGAGCCAATCAATAAAAGATAACAAGAAAAATAGGTTTTGTAAGACATGGGTTACCTCTTAACCTTAACTAATCCTCCCTTGGCTATTAAGGTTCTTTTCCAAGATTTCCCTCCGATTGATTTCCCTTGGCTTGGTGGTGGGGAATTCCTCTAGCCAGGTTTCTTGGGCAATTCGTGTCTATGAGAGGTGAGAGAGGTTCTAAATGCTTTCTAATCCCTATTTATAAGTTTAAGAAATCCTATTTGGAATCTGAGTGGTAAGGCCCACTTTCTTGGTCCTTAACAGGCCTAAGGCTCTAGTTAAGCCATGGGTTCACGATCCATTGTGGACCACATTAATTAATTAAGGGAATTCTAACCAAATTAAATCCTTTTTAACTATTCGTTAACGGGATTAATTCAATAATTAATTCGGATTTGAAGGCCGTAACACGGGATATTACAATACCTAACTCCACTGTAGTGTTGCATCTGTGAGCATTAGTTATTCTTCTAAGTTGAAAACAACAGTAGCTTTTCTCCCAACAACCACAACAGTAGAAAGGACAGTTCTCCACACATTTAACCCTGACTCTATTTTCCCCATTCTTAGTAAATCTAAGGTTTCTCTTTGTGTACACAACATAACTAATTATGATCTGTTTAAATTGGTTGCTATCTTCAAATAGTAAACCTGCTTCTAGAACTAGTGGATAAACTTGTGGGTTATACGAGGGGAACTTAAACTTACTAGAATTCTCACCAACATCATTCAAATTATCCTCATTGTCTGTATGATAACTTGGTGGGTCATCAGAGTCATAATCTTCACCAAATGCTGCTTGGTCCATGTCTCTAGTTTGCTTCATATCTTCACATCCACCATTGTCACCTCCAGTTTGCTGCATGCCTTATTCATTGTCTGTATTTTCAGCCCCATGAATGTCTTCCTCAACTTGTTGCGTCCCAAACTTCCTAACTTCCCTGACTTCATCATCATCAACTGATAGAAAATGATCAGTACTGTCTTCTGCATTAGTCTCATCTATAGGTTCATCATTTGCGTCACAATTATCTTCAAACTCAGCTGCAACTTGTATTTCAGGTTGAGTTATTACACCATCTTCACACTCAAGTGTAGAGGAAGGTAAAAAAAAAAATAGGAACTAGTTTTGCCTCTTGAATCCCATGGTCAACATAAATGTTTGCTTTATCATATCTACGTGCCAAATTAGCTGCTCTTAATGTACTGCAATTTTCATATAATAATTGAAGCATCTCCATAGACTCCTCTGCTCTCTTAAAGTAAAGTCCAACTACTTGTCCATATCTGTCTTCTTTAATATATTTCATTATGTGAAGAGATGAAATTTTATCAGGGTCAATATTAATGACTTCTACCTCACCATTTATATATGACAACCTTGGATTTTTTGCAAAGCTACCTCCCTGAAGAATCTTTAACTCAACTACGTCAAACATCCTATAAAAACAAATATATATGTACTTTAGTGTTGACCACAATAATAAAACATTATTCAAAATTATTTTATTTTATTATTGGTATTTTCCATTTTGGTTTTTATTAGGCATCTTCAACCTTTCAACAAGAATTAAAGCCACAAACTTTCAATACTTGCATACATACAAGTGACAGATCCATTGACAAACAACAAAAGCAAAATAAATTGAAGCTTTTTGTCCTTCACCACCTCCCCTGCTCTGTTGAAAAAATTAAAAACACTGCAGGGGACCATAACAACACCCCATGTCTCCATTATCAACTACAAAGAGGGACTCGTAACATTCACACACTGCTTACAACACAATATGTTGGGCATCTTGGGGGACCACAACAACATACAATGTTGGACATACGAACAACAAAATGCGTACAGTAATACAATGTTTTTCACATATATACCATCAAATATTTTCAACATTCATATCAACATAACACATATTACCCAACAAATTTGTAATTAACTATCTAAAGAAATCTACAACTATTAGCAAATCAAAATTTGTAAACCAACATTCAATAAACTCAAAATCTTCAAACCAAAATCAATTATTAACTATGGCTCCGTAATAGAATCATACCTCTTTGCCAACTTTGAAGTTCGTTGTCTCTTGTTAAACTCAACCCGTGAAGAAATTTCGAGACTTAGTGATGAACTTCGACAGATTCCGACAATGAAGAGAGAAGGTAGGGTTTCGTTTGGAGATTTTAGCGTAAAAAAAAAGGTTTTCTTTTGGAGATGTGCAGAATTAATAAATTATGATTATATATATATATATATATATATATATATATATATATATTAGGATATAGAATGTGCAGAATTAATCCATGTGGGATGACATGTAAGCGATTACCGGCTGGGTTGGGACGCATTGGACCTAAGTGACATTTTTTACCGGTTTAGGGGAGTTAATCGGAGCTTTCTTTTAATTAGGTGGCCAATTGCACTATCCGATTTACTTAGGGGCCGATTTGACACTTTTTCCTAAAAAAAGTTCAACTTTTCGAGATGCCCTTAGAGCAACACCATTTGTAATTTTTTCTCAAGTTTTTGCATAGACAAAACTGGTGGCATAGTTTTTGAACAAATGGGAAACATGAAATTTTGGAGGTTTTATTTCCTACAAGAACAATATTTTTTGTGGGCCTCATTAGAAAGAGAAAAATGAAGAAAAACAAAGCAGATGCGCGTTTCGCACACTTGCTGCGCCCATCTGGCGCGTGTACTGCACATGCCAACTGGGCGCGTAAATACCTATCTACTGCTTTTTTTTTTTTTTTCTTACTCTTCTCTTTCTTACATGGACCTGCAAAAACCAATGTAAAAACCAAGGGTGTGTTTGGTTCATGGGTTTACACAATAGAAATAGGAATCAACATCATACTTAGTGTTTGGTTTACAACTTTTTAAAACACAACTATGGATTTGATTACCCATTCAAATAAAAATCTCATTCTCTAATTGAAAAGGAGTATCATTCCATTTTATTGGTAATCTCATTTTTAAGTTCAAATTAGTATACTAAGACTATGTGGTCTAATGGTACCCAGGTTAGACTTTCATTTAAAAAGTTGTGAGTTTGAGTCTTAGTGGAGGCATTTATTGGTTCTTTGTGTTTCAGTAGCTTGAGAAAGTATATGAACAATTAGTACTTTTAGTTTTTTTTTTTTTATTTTTTCATATTGATACTTTGGATGTCATTATATTAGGATCAATTGTTTTGATTTTTTGTTTTTGTATTTTTAAAACCTTTATTCCCATTATAGGTTATGAACAATTAGTACTTTTAGTTTTTTTTTTTATTTTTTCATATTGATACTTTGGATGTCATTATATTAGGATCAATTGTTTTGATTTTTTGTTTTTGTATTTTTAAAACCTTTATTCCCATTATAGGTTATACACAACCAAACATCAATATTAATAATTATTTCAATTTCACCCTACTACCAAACATGCCAAATACTTTCGCCAAAACTAATTACCATTACTAAATATTTAATCTTTATTACGATTCCGATTCCTATGTGCGAACCAAGTGCACCATAATTTTCATACTATGTTCCATCACTACTCTATTACCATTCACACATTTCATTAACTTTTAATATAAAATTAAAATTTTAAAATGTTAGGGATGAAAAAAAAAAAAAAAAAAAAAAAAAAAAAAAAAAAAGGTAAATAGGGCCACAAACTTCTATTTACATCACGTTTTATTTTTATTTCTAATTTTTGTTTCAAGAATAGCCGGGATTGTCGTTTTCCTTTGGCTTGCTCATTCATGCTCTATGATTTGAACTTGAACCCCACTGAAGTGGCATCGACTTCTCTAGCCATACACCCACTATAGGCAAAGATACCAAACTCGGATCTTCATAATATTTCTTTGATTGCTAGTACAGTGAAAGAAAATCTTTAAACGTCAGTGAAGGTTAGTTCTTAAATCTTAATCTTCTTCTAGAAGCCACTTAGGCACTAATTTCGCTTTTAAAATTCATTTTTTCTCAATTTATTTATTGTATTTGGGATTTTTAATTCAAAGATTGCAGCTTTATATCGGAATATACTACAGGAGATTTGGGAGCGTATTGGCGAAGGTTTAGACAAGGCTAGCTTTTTAAAAACTGCCAGTTCTGATGCTTAATCATTTTGTTAGTCTGGGATTGTTGTAATGATAATGGAAAAGGCATTATCTTGGCCCCTTTCTTTATTAGTTTTCTTAATAATTGTCTCTTTTGTTTGAACTGTTGTTGTTGGCTTTGTCTGTTGCTTTTTAGGTTTGAAAACTGCGATTTTAGCTGGCTATACTCTTTTAAAAGGGGGGAAAAAGAGAGGAAAAACAATAAATTATTGATTTCTTCTAGCTGTTTTGCTAGTTTCAGTATAAAACTCTGTTTGCTTAAGGGCTTCAGTGAATTTAAAGAATGCTAGTCCAAGATTTGGATTTCTAAGTCAATTAATACTTACTGTGTATTTGGTGTTCTTATGATTGGTCGTTAATTTGCGATTGTAGTTGCAGCAAATGGAGTCAAGGGCTTGCTACTAATTACTTCTTCTTGGAGACATTAACGTTTAGTATTACTGCAATGCCCTTCCCTCGAGAATCAGCCGATTATGACAAGGCTTCAATGCCGCAAAACATGCTGTTAAGTGACAGTCTTGAGGTACTTTCTTGTGCCGAGCTTAAATAAAGCTTTCTTGCGGTATAATAAATGCTCTCTCTTTTCCATAGAAGTGGTTCGAATTATAGATTTACAGGTGAATGGTTGATACCTATTTTGGGCTCAGAAATGGTAAATTTGATGTCTATGGTGTTGCGTTTTGGAAACCGTTTCTTTGTTATAAATGCGAATCCATTGCAAAAAATTTAAAGAATTTCTCATATTAACAAGTAGCTTCTGATTGGACTTTTATAGAATTTTCTCAATGTATTTTAGAAGTGTTAAATTTTACGTTTCTGGATCTCAAAGAAACATGGATAAAGTGGGAGAAATTTAATCCGATGATACAATTTTTCTTGCACGGACTGTTGGAAATCTGGTTCTCAAACTACAGCATGGAGAGTACTCAAATTATTCCTCTGCTCTTTAAAAAAAATTCTTGTAATCTTTATTGTCTTATGCAATTTTTATTTTCAGGATTTGGCAAATCTCAGAAAGCAGCTGTACTCTGCAGCCGAATATTTCGAGTTATCTTACATTAATGATGACCAAAAACAGATGTGAGTCATTTAATTTATTGAAGGGACCCGTTTTAACCCATTTTAGTAATTTGGTTCTGACGTTTGATGCATTACAGAGTGGCAAATACATTGAAGGATTATGCCGTCAAAGCTCTTGTAAGCACTGTGGATCATTTGGGCTTAGTGACATACAAGGCCAACGATATGTTGGATGAAAAAGTCGTTGAAGTTTCTGGAACAGAACTTCGAATATCTTGTATTGAACAGGTGATCCCGTGCTTCTTTGTTTCATCTAGATTTTCCTCTTTCTTTACAGAAATTTGTATAGATTTTCATGTTCTGTTATGTAATGGTTATGATGACTGCAAAAGTAAGCTCATTCATCTTACTTAATACCTTCTTAGTAGTACTCTCTCTGTCCCATTTTACCTGTCATGTTTACTATTCATTGGTCAAATCAACTCTTTCAACTTCCTGATCGTTATTTTCCATTTCCCCCTTTAGAGACTGAGGACGTGTCAAGAGTATATTGATCGTGAGGGCCTTTCTCAGCAATCATTAGTCATAAATACTCCAAAGTACTGTAAGAGGTACATCTTGCCAGGTAAAATAATTTATTCTCTTGCAAAATGATTCCTCGTTTTTCTTTAATCTTAGGAGAGAATTAATGACCCCCGCTCTTTTTCTTAGTTGGGGAAACCGGGTGTGGCCTCGATGATGAAGATGTCAGGCGTCAGTTTCGAAATGGTAGCATGCGGGATGCTTTATGTTCTATTTCGTTAGTAATCTGCAATTTAAGTCTAGTATTTGGTGTAATAACAACGTGATTATGAACTGATATTATTCGCAGCTGTTGAAGCAACAACTATGGATATTCCAGAGTCGACAGTCGGGTAAGCTATGCTGTGGTATTCTCTAGTTCATTAAAACGGCAACTAAAGTCAACAGATCGTTAATGCGTTAAAAGTTGCAGAAAAGAGCAATCCCCGCCGTCACCTTCTCCACAACTTCCTCAGCAGCAATCTAGATCGTCTTTCTCCATCTCGGTAACCATGCCTAAAAAAGAGCTAGGTTTGTTCCCTTCGTCTTCTTGCATTCCTCTCTTTAGCTCCACATTGCCATTGACGCTCGACTAAATTACACTAATTGAGTTTTTCTGGCCTTTTTGTTCACGTCTTTTGTTTGATGGATGAAGGACCCGAGAAGCGAACGGTCTCCCCACATCATTTTCGCCATTTACGAACTGCATCTCTTCCTAGTAGGCCAACAACACCTAAGAGTTCTAGGCCAACCACTCCAAATCGAAGTCGACCCCCTACTCCAACCCCTAGATCACAGGTAAAATCAGATCGTCTGTCTGTTTCTTTAAATCAATGATTGCTAAACTAATTAATGCCATCTTTTTCGACTTCTTTTTATTTTTAAATAAAAAAGTACCAGTGTGGTGAGTGTTAGGTAGACCCTACCTGTTCTTTTCTATCTAGCTCCATTGGAGCCTGTCTAATACTCTTTTTTTTTTTTTTTTTTTTGAGTACTACTGACTCTGTTACAATGTAGTATCTCTGTTACAATGTAGTATCTGTTCAATTTCTGGAATATCTGATTATTCTCTGGAAAATATCTTTTGAAGATGCTGTATACTTCAGAACCGTGGAAACCACCGCCATTGCATCTCCACGTGGAAAGAGAGAACACTCGAGACTCTGATCATCGCCCCAGCAAAAGCAAAAGTAAACGTCTCCTTAAAGCTTTGCTCAGCCGACGCAAGTCAAAGAACGACGACATGCTTTACACTTACCTCGATGAATATTGACGATACAAGATCAAACGAAGAAACGAGTAGGATCCTTTTTGTTAGGAAAGAAAGAGACCTTGGATCCCTCCCCTTCTCCCTCCTTTTTGTACCAAATTATTATCATATTTTTACACTGTAAATTGTTTTCTTTAACCTTTTCCTCTTTTGGTATAAATGCATTTCTGGGCTTAATGTTTAGTGGGGGTACTTGAAAAATTATTTTCTTTTGGATGAAACTGTGATAGAGGCAAGCAGCTGGTAATGTACAATTTTGAGACAATCATGCCACTGCTTGTCTGCTTCTAATTGTACTTGTACTCTGGTTACTTTAAGAAAATTACAAATATAAATATTTATTATGAAATAGTATTGCCTGCCATTTTTCTGCTAGACTTTCTTGTTGTTGTAATTGCTCTGAGAAGCTATATACAGTTCCATTTGCCATCACAATGCCAGCAACCATAGTTTTTGTTGGGCAGAGGCCGGTGGATGGTCAAGTCTCACTTGGCCTCTCAAAAATGTGATGGCTGTATAAGGAAATAAAGTTGTGCCAAAAGCTATACTTCACAGCGAAGACGCAACTTTACTTATTTATACAATCAAAACATTTTCGAGAGACATGGTGCTAGACTTGACCCTTCACCATTTTCTGCCCAACAATTCCCCCTCCCAGTAAGAGCAAAACTATGCAGTTAAGGCTGGCAGGTCTTGGGAGGGAAATTGTTGGGTGGAAGCTGGTGAAGGGTCAAGTCCAGCAATGGGTAGCTAGGTGGATTGTTGGGTGGAAGCCAGTGAAGGACCAAGTCTAGCACCCTACCTCTCAAAAATGCATGGTTGCAATAGGCGCTAGGCACTAGTCGGGCGGTAGAGTAACGCCTAGCGCCTAGACGGCCTAGGCGGGGCCTAAGTGGCCTAGGCGGCTAACTGAAAAAATGAAAAGCGGTGCAAGTGTGTAGGTGCATATATGTCATATTATACATACATACATACATACATACATACATACATACATACATACATACATACATACATATATATATATATATATATATATATATATATGTCATATAAATGAAAAAAATTAGCAAGGTCGAGTCGGCCGGGTTAACTCGGCTAACTCGACAGAAATTGACGAGTTAACTCGGCGTAATCGGTCGAGTCGGTCGGGTTAACCCGGCTAACTTGACAGAAATTGACGAGTTAACTCGGCGTAATCGGCCGAGTTAGGCGCTAGGCGGCCGGTCTCCTAGGCGGGAGCCTAAGGGAGAAATCGCCACGGCCTAGAGCCGCCTAGCGCCTAGGCGCCGATTACTCGGTGCCTAGGCGGGATTTTTACAAAAAGGGAGAACGATAACAGAAATATAAAGAGAGAAGAAATGGTTACAACAAACTTATTAGTGGAGAATTACTATAACACCCTCCTTAACAAATCACGTTCACCATCTTTCTCAGCTCCTTCACTCTTCTCTGATGTTTCAATGTCCAACCCCCCCTCCCCCGATAAGCCGGAGCGTGCAAGTCTTGGATGCCCAGTTTAAATATAAAGAATCGAAATTGGGAAGTAGGAAGAAACCTAGTGAAACCATCAGCTACTTGGTTTGGTGAAGATACAGATAGAATCTTTATTAAACCTTGAGTCACCTTTTCTCGAACGATGTGACAATCAATTTCGATATGTTTGGTGCATTCATGAAATACATGGTTCTCAGCAATGGGCAATGGTAATGGCGGATTTATTATCACAAAATACCGTTGCCGACTTGTCCATTGCCACCTGTAAGTCTTAGAGCAAAGATGTAAGCCATTGTACTTCACAGAGTGTGGTGGCTAAAGCCCGATACTCTACTTCGGAAGACGATCTTGATACAGCCACTTGCTTTTTCGACCTCTAGGAAATAAGAGCAGTACCAAGAAATATGCAATAGCCGGTGATGGACCTGCGACTCTCTGAACAAGAAGCCCAGTCAGAACCAAAGAACACTTTGAGTTGCAGACTAGTGTCCATTGGATAGAATAATCCCTACCCATGTGCTCCTTTAATGTAACGCAATACATGATGCATAACATACATATGTTTGTGAGTAGGAGTACCCACAAACTGACTTAACTATTGAACAACATAAGTAATGTCAGGCCTTGTTGCTGTGAGATATAACAGTCGTCCTACTAACCTTCTATAGTTGTCAGCATCGTTGAGGAAAATACCATCATCATGCATTAAACGATTACCTGGAACCATTGGCGTACTTACCGGCTTGCAATCAAGAAATCCGGTTTCACTTAGGATGTCCAAGGTGTACTTGCATTGACAGAGATTCAAAACGGACTTGCTCACCTCAACCTCAATCCCCAGGAAGTAACCTAAGCTGCCTAAGTCCTTGATCTTAAAAACATTCTCAAAAAAGTCTTTGAGTTCCTGAATAAGACTCATTTCTTTGCTGGCAACCAAAATGTCGTCAACATAAACAACTAGGGCAATAAATTTTGTGCCACAACCTTTAGTAAACACATAAGGATCAAATTTAGATTGCTTGAAACCAATGTGTAACAGGGAAGCACTTAGCTTCGCATTCCACTGCCGGCTTACTTGTTTAAGTCCATAAAGTGATCGCAATCATCTAAACACCTTATTCGGTTTATCACTTCGGAAGCAAAGAGGTAGTATCATATAGACTTCCTCATTCAAATCTCCATGTAAAAATGCATTATTGATGTCTAATTAATGAATGTGTCATGCTCTAGATATAACAACAACCATGAATGTACGAATTGTGGTTAGCCTTGTCACTAGGGAGAAAGTCTCAATATAATCCACCCCTAGTTGTTGCGTGTTACCTTTGACTACCAGCCTCGTCTTGTACCTCTCCACAATGCCATCCGTCTTGAGCTTGACCTTGTACACCCATTTAAACCCTATATGATTTTTACCAGAGCGTAGCTCAGTTAATTCCAAGGTGTTGTTGTCCTGAAGTACTCTCATTTCTGCATTCATGGCTTCCTTCCAACAATTATGTTGGATGGCCTGGTTGTACGTTCGCGGATCATCAATGGATGTGACTGCCATCGGAAAATTCTATGTGATGGTGCAAGATTATCGTAAGACAATACCAATGAAGACACATTTCCTACTGCACGGCGCCATTTTATGTCTTAAATGTGGTAAGGTAGATGCATAACAAAATCATCCAAACACTTTAAGATTTTTGAGGTTAGGATATTTCCCATACAATCTACGATAGGGACTTAGACCTTCAATCACTGGTGAATGAAGTCGAGTAATAATGTAAATTGCATGCATTACGCACTGCCCCCAGAACTCAAGTGGGAGGTGAGCTTCAAAACAGAGAGCTCTAGCGACATTAAGAATGTGCTGATGACTCAGTTCAACCACAACATTTTGTTGTGGTGTATTCACACACGATTTTTGATGGATAATGCCCTTTTCAAAGAAAAATCCTGTCATGTTGAATTCTGGTCCATTGTCACTTCGAATAGTCTTTATTAGCACCCCAAATTGTGTAAGAACAATGATGTGAAATCTCCTTATCAATTCCCTTCCCTAAGACTTATTTCTCATTAAATGCAGCCAGGTAAATCGCGAATGGTCATCAACCAAAGTCAAGAAATAATGTTCCTCTTTCAGTGAGAAAATTGGAAAAGGTCCCCATACGTCTACATGGATTAACTCAAAGCAAGTATTCGATGAAGTAGTACTCAAGGGGAAAGGAGAACGTTTGTGTTTAGCAAGATGGCATATATCACAAGCCAAATTCTTAGCAGTGGAATTTGAAATATCATTCAAGAAATGCAATTTATTCTGTGGAAAATGCCCTAATCTTTGGTGTCAAATCTCAGCACTAGTACATTGCATAGGAAAATGTTCATGACATCTAGTAGGTTGCTTCTGTGGTTCCTTCAGCAGGTATAACCCCTCTCTTCTCTAGCTAAACCAACTATCATCCCATGAGCCTCCTAAATCATGCATTGACCAGTCATGAAAGCCATTTTATAAGATGTGTCTTGGAGTAACTTACTAACTGAGATTGTATTGAATTGAAATGATGGAATGTGCAGAGCATCTCTCAACCACAGAGTGTTGTTGAGCTTTATATTCCCTATGTGCTTAACAACAACACACTCTCTCGTAGCAAGTTTACCTCGGCTCCATTAACAATATGATAGTCAACAAAAAACTCAAGAGAACAGACAGTGTGAACCGTAGCTCTGGAATCTAAAATCCAATTAGAAGAACATAGGGAAAGGGAATTAACATGAGTGATAGTATACTTGCATTCATTTTTGAGATCCATTTAAGTGAATTTGGGAATCAAAGAGACTGCTGCTACAGTATTAGAGCCTGAGGATTGCTCCGTTTGACTTTGGAAAAGAGAGATGAATTTTTGGAGTTGATAAGAAGTAACTCCAAAATCTGTCATGTTATTGGGGACAAGGATTCTTTGCAAGGGGAAGTACTATGATGATTATAAGACTTGCTATTATCCTGCAAATTTGGGATTGGCAATGTGACATGGCAAGAGAGTTTTTTTTTTTTTTTTTTTTTTTTTAAGTTTAGAAAATTGTAATTTATGCCCCTCCATAATATGTCAATTATCAATGTCACTCAAGAATTATTAGTGGTGTAAATATTGCCCCTCAATTTTCAAAATGATACATATATTGTCCCTCCCAAGTGTAAATGTTGCCCCTCAGTTTTCAAAATGGTACATATATTGTCCCTCCCGTACGGTACGTGAGGGGCAATATATGTACTGTTTTGAAAATTGAGGGACAACATTTACACCACTAATAATTCAAGGGTGATATTGATAATTGACATATTATGGAGGGGCATAAATTACAATTTTCCTTAAGCTTATGTGTATTGATAAGGGATAGAGAATTGACTAAATTAGCAATGGAAAAGAGAATTTGCTAATCTGCCATGTGGCAGCTTTTGTGCCGCCAGCCCATATATATTCTTTATCGTTTCTTTTAATATTATTTTATTATTATATTTATAATATAATATGATAGTGAGATCCATTTTTTAAAGTGAGAGAGATTTGCATGGATGTAGAATAAAAAAAAATAGAGAATTTGTAAATTTGATGATGGAAAAGTGTGATCCATTTTAGAAAGTGAGAGGGATATGCAGGAATAAGGATAGACTAAGGAGTGAAGAAAATTCTAAGAAGAGGGGTCAAGTTTAAAAAAAAAAAAAAAAAAAAAAAAAACACCGAGTCCAAAAGTCAAAACTATACCAATTGAAGCATGTGCTCTATCTCAACTAAAAGCGGCAATTTATATCATGCACCAGGGCACATTGCATTGTGCGCCCTGGTGTTGGAAATTTTCTTGGGGAAT